TATATCAAATTATCAAAGTAGCGAACACGAATCGAATCAACATGATGAAAGTGACTAGATGAAATTCCCGTGTACCCTCAAAAACGCTTTGCTTATTATAAGAGATCGTTTTGGCCCGTCCTTTGCCTCAAAAAGATTGAGCTACCTTGTTGCACTTTTGTTACTATTATCATTACTTGCTCGTTACAAAATACCTTGTTATCAAACTATCCTGTTATTTACAATTTCAGCACTTGCAGACATTACCTTGCTGAAAACCACTTGTCATTTTATTCTGCTCCTCGTCGGATTCGACACTCTTACTTATCAAAAAGAGCTACAATTGATCTCCTATACTTGTGGGCCATCAAGGTCGTCGTTTGGCGTCGTGGTGGCGTCGATGGCGGAGGACCTACCAAGATTGTCACCTCAATTTGCTCTGAAAATGGACCAGTGAAAGATGACGGCAACGACACATGTGAGTGCGTCGGATCGGTTTGACACAAGAGATGCAAGCTAGGCCACATACCCAGATCTTTCATCTAAGCCTAACATCTAAAGCCGGAGGCCCCGACCGTGAATAATCAATAAAATGACCGCATGCATCTCCCAGATGCAGAGGCCGGGGGTCATCCTCCTTTTTTAAGAAAAAACAAGAACATTTTTTGCATGCATGTAACCTTTGTGATGGTGGTAAAGTATGGCAACATGCCGTTCTGTGTATGTAGCAGAACATACACGAGCTTACAACATAGCCTAATAATGAGTTGTGGAACGTCAACAAAGATATGGTTCTGATGGGGATTCCTTCCGTTATCTAGGATTTCATAGGACGTGAGATATAGTTCTGATGGGGATTTCGTTTTGTTATCTAGAATTTGAGAGGAAGTGGACTAGGGAAGAGTCACAGAGTCGCTGGCTTGTTCGTGAGATGAGAACGGAAAGTGACAAGCAAGAAAGAGGTAGTGCAAACGTGGACGAGGGAGCACCTGTTTGACGAGAAAGTATCCGCTGATTGACAGCCAGTGGCGGAGCTTAGTGTAAGGCTGAGGGGGCCGTGGCCCCCCAGCATTAGGCAAAATTGTGAAGAAAAATTACTGTGCAGGAATTAGATAAGGAAAAGATCAATCTTTGCCCTTTTAATTGTTCATGTTTTGGCTTTTGGTCCCTCCTGAGATTCCTGCCTAGCCCCGCCACTGTTGACAGGAGATACATTAGTTTCCCTGCTTGACATGGCAATCGGTGGATCAGTAGGCCATGGGTGGTCATTCATATTAGGGATAAATACATTTTTTGTCGTCGTACTCTTGCGATAGTATAGAAATCATCCTTCAACTCCGAAAACACTAAAACTCGGTCCCTCTACTATTTAAACCGGATACTTTTCATCCCTCGCGACGCTTAAAGTGGTTTTTGGTACAACGTGTACCCGGTTTTGACTAAAATCGTCCATGTGGCCTGGTTTTGATTGAAAATGTGACCGTAAATGTGTAGTCTAGTTCATCATTTACAGTAAATGTCACAGTAAATGTGCAGTAATATTTCGGATGTCTGCCTCAAGTTCAAACGTGACAGTAAATGTGCAGTCTAGTTGTTCATTTACAGTCGATGTTACATCTGGTGCTGCAAGTTTTCAAGTTGGAGGAAATAAAAGAGCAAAGAAAGCCCCAGCAAAACTACTGAACTAGTGTACTTGTACTCATGTTTGTGGTTATCCCTTGTGGTTATGTCAGAATTCATGTTTGTGGTTGCTTGTAGTATTTCTCACTTACTTTGTCAGACTTTGAGAATTCCCTTGTGGTTTGCTTGTAAGACTAATCAGTACTTCCTCCGTTTTTATTTACTCTGCATATTAGTGTTGACTGAAGTCAAACTTCGTAAAGTTTGACCAAATTTATAGAAAACAATATAGACATTTATCATAATAAATCTATACGATGTGAAAGTACATTTAATAATAAATCTAATGTTGTTGATTTGTTATTGTATATCTTAATATTTTTGTATATAAACTTGGTCAAAGTTTGTAAAGCTTGACTTTGACCAAAGCTAATATGCGAACTAAATAAAAACGGAGGGAGTACTACTCCCTCCGTCCGGTTAAGAGGGTACATCTAGAAATTTTAGGACAAATTATGGACTTGAGTAAAAAAATCATTGGAAAAATGCAAGCCACCATCTCTCTCCTCTTTAATTACCCAACCCCCAATGAGCTAAGTGCATGTAGACATTAAGAAGACCATGTGTAGATTGCTATTGGTCTTGATTACCGTGTGATGAGAGAGGAGTGTTGTTTCCTACTTTAAAATGCATTGGGAAGATAGAAGTACACTTTTTTGTGGACAAATTTTGAAGTTAGATGTACACTCTTCACCGGACGGAGGGAGTATGGTTGTGGTTGTCAGACTATGTTTGTCATGCAATCTGTTTGGTTCAGTACTCTGTCCAATCATCTATTAACAAGTGAACAATCTGCAATGCATTCAGTTTACACAATTGTCTAAAATCATGTGAATAATCTGCTATGAATCCCATTCAGTTTATAAAATGGTCTGGAACTGAAACCATCTAGTTAGCATAGAATTTGTTGTTACCAAACTGGACAAACATGCGACTGAAATGCTCCGAGCAAACCCAATTTTCCATAAATAACATAGTTCAGATTACATGCAGGTCAAAACCGGGTCCACGTAATACCGAAACCACTTTAAGGGTCGCCAGGGACGAAAAGTATCCGGTTTAAATAGTTGAGGGATTGAGTTTTAGTTGTTTCAGAGTTGAGGGATGATTTCTATACTATCGCCAGAGTTCGAGGACGAAAAATATACTTATCCCTTCATATTAAGGTAGAGAAAAGATTTTGCTCTTTTGACAGTTATTTAGCTTCAAATTTTACATGCTTGGTCTTTCGGTAGCAAAACTACCAAAATTATGTATCATCTATGGCAAAGTCGGAGTCGCTGGATCAAACACGATAATGGTGATGAAGACGATGCTTATGGGCAGCCTCGTTGATCTTTCTCTTCTCAGCGGGGTGTGTGAATTTGTATTGGTAGTCAGGTTGACAGCTATTATGGGACAACCAGCCTTTGGGCTTGTAATTTCAGTTTTTGCCCAGTTTTGCTTTAATTCACCGGGAAACTCTCTTCTGCTTAATTAATAGATCAAAGCCTAAGGTTTTCTATTAAAAAAATGCTTACCGTGATGTGTGTGGTTGTCGGTTCTTGCAGCCCCATGGCAATGGATGTCACTGCTGGACCACTTCAATGTGTATTGATGGAATTGCATGGAAGTGCTTTTTCCGACCCTTTTGTTGAGGAGGTAGAGTTTTTTTAGAAAGATGTAGCGAATTTTGTTGTTCGATACATAGGACCTAATGTCAAACGTGTGGATGTAATTTTTGTTTTTACTTTGTAGTCCTTCCATATGCTCTGAAAATAAAATCATTAGTCACCTCTATATATGTACTACCGAGAATAAACTCTTATCTTGTAATGCGGAGATATGTAGAGTTCATCTTCAGATATGATGCAAAAATTTAGACTTGAGTACAATATTAGTTCTTTAACTGCCGCATAATGTTTGGGATGGACTATGTTACCTCCCACATTGTTAAACCTTCTCCATCTTGCCTACACCAAGACCCCACTACGTGTTCCGATAAATTGAGTGAAAGTGTATATCTTGACCCTGACGTTGCGCTACGAGTCATCAAAGGTGGGAATGTTATACTGATGAAGACCCCAAGAAAGAGGTCGTGGAGACTTTCGAGACGCAAGCATTCGAGACACCCATTGAAGATGATTGTGAACCAATACAACAATTACCTTTTTTGAAGGAGTCACACACTCCTTATGAGCATGAAAAGCTAATGAAGAAACAAGAGGAGAAACAAAGCACATGCACGATTGAAGCTAAGTTGCCACCCGTGAAGAAAGAATAACTTCATATTACAGGCTATGAGATATTGGTTAATGTGTCCTCACCTAAACCGAAGGAGACGCATGTCGATGAGTTTTGGCATGGCCCCCGCTATCTGTCCGATGTGATGAACGTGTCTGAATGTCCCATATACGCTTCACATATGAGCTGCATATGGGGTGTCGAATAGCCCGGACACATAGAATCGATGAGGGGTTTGGTTGGGTGGCAAAAAGGTGACTAGGCTCCAAGTCAAAGACTAATGGTCTCTCTATTTATACACCATAATCATTAGCATCAAGCTTAGTCCGCCACGGTACTACTACAAAAGATAAAAATAAAAACATACGCTCGTATTAATCATGCAATACTCCTGCCAACGCCATAAAACCAAACCAAAGGAATGAACGAAAAATGTACACCACCCCGGGGAGAAAAAGTCAGCTCCACGCTCCTCATCTCCACGTGGATTTGTCGGCGTCGTCGGCTCCGGCCTTCTCGGCCAGAAGCGACGTCCGCGCGTTCGTCGACGGCCGGTGAGCCGCCCGCGGCGATCGGTGCTCCTGCATTGCCCAAAACCAAAACCAAAACGAATGATTCATTCACCTCTGGTCAAGCCTATGTAGGAGTATGATGCATCCATGCTGCCGTTGGGTGATGGAGTGCGTGCGTACCGTGCGGAAGGGGAACTCGTCGCCCTCGAGCATGTGCACGATCTGGCCCATCTTGGGCCGCTTGTGCGCGTCGGAGTCGATGCAGCGGAGGCACACCAGCAGCACCCGGTTGAGCACCCTGGGCGCCGGCGCCGGCACGATGCGCGGGTCCGCCAGGTCCTCCACGCGCCGGCTCCCCACCATCCCCCTGAACCACTCCACCAGGTTCACCTCCCCCGCCGGCCGGTTGTAGTCCACCGGGCTCCTCCCGGAGATGAGCTCCATCAGCAGCACGCCGAAGCTGTAGATGTCGCTGCTCTCGTTCAGCATCCCCGTCGACGCGTACTCCGGGGCCACGTACCTGCACCCACCCCAAAAGAAATAAAATGTTCAGAATCGAGTGATGCAAATATGAGCGGGATGGACTGAACCGGACGCACCCGAACGTGCCCATCACACGGGTCGTCACGTAGCTGGAGCCGGAGCCGAGGACCTTGGCCATGCCGAAGTCGGACACCTTGGGGTTCCATTTCTTGTCCAGGAGGATGTTGCTGGACTTGATGTCCCGGTGCACCACCTTGGGCTCCAGCCCCTCGTGCAAGTACGCGATACTGCAACAAAATTCACAATAGAAGATGGTAACAGAATCAGTGGGTGTCTTCGATCGCGATGTGCGACGAGATAAGCCATATGATTAGTGTGAGCGAGCTTTAAACAGAAACGGAAACGAACCCTTTGGCTGTCCCGATGGCGATCTTGAGACGGATCTCCCATGTCAGCGGGCTGACGGGGCCGACGTCCCCGTGCAGCCACTGCTCCAAGTTGCCGTTCTCAACAAACTCGTACACGAGCATCCTGTGAACACACACACGATGTGATGATGGCGTTAGCTACCACACGCTACTCAGTCCAGCTCAGCTGCCTTTCTGCTTACCGTTTAGGCCCTTCCGCGCAGTAGCCGATGAGGCCGGCGAGGTGCTTGTGCCTCACCCTGCCGATGGCTTCAACCTCCACCTTGAACTCCTGCTCGGCCTGCCCCCTACAAATTACAAAACCAATCCAACATTCAGATCAACATCCCGCTTGTTAATAAGACCATACCACATCTCTGATCACGTGCGCAAAATGTTCTTCAAATCCTCACTGTCCCATTTCAAATCATCTACTCCTAGATTACTTATGGAGTGGGATCTCTGAACGACCTGAAAGATGCTGTTCGTTGGAACCTCAACAGGAAACATTCTGATTTCTGAACCCGTGTGCAGGAAGGAAGGGATATTTACGGCTGCTGCTAACGCATGTGTCGATCCTCAGCGATCCATGTGCGTGCATTTGGTTCACTTCAAAGTTAAAACAACTCCAAAGATGGCACATACTACCACTATATTTCTGATTGGATATTTGTAGGATCAGGAAGAAAAGGAGGAAAGTTCGGTCACCGCTTTGCCTTTTCTGTTGCTTTCTCTTTTCTTGAAAGTAAGGGCATCCATGAGATCGGTGCATATGACCGCCGACGGACGGACAATCTCAAGATCTCAACCAACCATGTAGATGGATGGATACATACTAGTACGTGCCATCACAAAAAGAGCCACCTACACCTACTCATATCTCAATCATGTGTAACCGGGGCACAAAGAAAACAAAAGCAATGTTGCCATTCTCTGTAGCATTGACTTAATGCAACGATAGTGCTGTATAACTAGTACAGTACACGGGTTCAATTAATTTGGTTCACAGGAGTATACAGCACAACGGAGACCAACCCTATCAATAATCACACACACACATAATATTATAAAGGGTGTGAGACGCCCTGCATTTTATTTGGCCCTTGAGTCAAATGACATCACAAGATTCTGACGAACTCGGCATAAACGATAATCTTAACAAAGGTGAGATTGTGCACTTCAATTAACAAAAAACATGCTTGCCACAAGTTTATTTTGCCCTTAATAAAGGTTAAAATGACGGCAATCTTAAGCCACAAGTAATACCGCACTTGCTGTGACTAATTACCAACATATGCACGGACTAATGGAGACCAAGCCAGAATTGAGCAGAAATGTACGATGTGGAAGCAAAAGCATCTCTGCAAAAGGACAAATTGGGCCTTTAACTTCACAGAAGCATGCAAGTTCATTTTTGCCCTTTTGCTATGACCAGGCAAGGTATACGAGCAGCAATCTTGAAGCCACGCCAACAGGAGAACTGCAACAACCGCGCTTACCGTGACTAATTACCCAACGCTTGCATTTAGTTCAGGAAAGCACCAAAGGTACATGCACAGTCGAAATCCATGACCACATAGTTGTACAGTACTGCGAGCTTTAACCCATCCACACATTTACTTACCCGAGCTACCGCACATCTACTTATCTGTAGTTAACTTTCGTTTTGACACCGTTTAATTTGTTAATCTTGAGGTCAACAAATTAAGTGCTGCTTACGTTTCTACCATGTTAGTAGGACGATGCAGAGTGAACAGAGTACTGCAATTCAACGCGGTAACAGTGGCGGGGAGAAAGAGTGCTCACTTGTGATCGAAGAGGTTCTTGACGGCGACCACCTCGCCGCCGGCGAGCACGCCGCGGTACACCGTGCCGTAGCCTCCCTCGCCGACCACGTTCGCCTCGCGGAACCCGCCCGTGGCCGCCTCCAGCTCCTCCAGCTCGTACCACCTCCCCCAGCCCATCTCCACCCCCGGCGCCGCCCCGCCCCCGCTGATCCTCTCCGGCTTCTTCCGCACCGGCGACTCCAGGGAGCTGGCCGCCGCGGACGAGCTGGCCACGTCGGAGGAGCTGGTGCCGACCTCGGCCCCGACCTCGGCGTACTTCTGCTGCTTGGGCGTGGAGGTCGGGAGGAGCGAGCCGGAGGAGAGCGCGTGGTCGACGCGCGAGGACTGCGGCTTGGCCCCGCGCCCGCCCCCGCGCCGCCGCGCCAGGTACGCGGCGATCGACGCGGCCGCGACGACGAGGAGCAGGACGGCGGCGCCCGCGAGCGCGGCCTCGGCGGCGGTGGACAGCCCGAGGAAGGACCTGCCGCTGCCGGAGGCCGCGGGCGGCGGGCCGGCGGCGTCCATCGCTCGCTGCGGTGGGCCTCGGTCGGTGGGCCCGCCCAGGCCCGGCTACACGGAGGGTGGCGACGTAGTGGAGGGTGGTGGTGGTGGTGGCGTTGGAGGGAGGCGGGCGCCGGTGGAGCGTGTCTCTGCGTGCGCCTGCGTTATATGGAGTTATGATGGGTTTTCTTCGCTCCCGCTGACGTTGGTGGACTCGGCGCACCGTGGACCCCGTCCCATTACTGTTTTTTGTTTGCTTGCTTTCGCATTGATTTCTGGAGGTCGAGCCATTTAAGTTGATCGGGGACGTGTCAACCGTCTAATGACCCAATGTGGCGTGATGCGAGAGCACATTTCAGGTTGCCAGGCGTGTGATCAGTGAGCTGATATCTCCGCGTTTGTGCAGGCAGCAACAATTTGGAGCGATTTACTGCTGCAACGCGACTGCGGATACCTCTGCATTTGCGTGGGCAGTCGCGATCTGGAGCGATTTATTAGTGCAGTGCTGTTTGGGGCGATGACGGTGTGAGCCGCTGGTCCGGGTCCACGGACGGAGGGCGGGGGTGTTGGGCTTTGCCGTTGGACGGGGAGGCGTGCAGCTTTGTTTTGGTGTGCTCTACGTGAAACGGTCGTTGGGTGGGGCCGGGGAGCGCCTAGATCCGGGCCCACCTTACAGGCGACGCCCCGTGAATGCTGTGCCTCGGTCTATTCGGGCATTTGATTGCGCAGGGGGCGGCCATTTCTCTGAGCATGAGGCTATTTATAGATGTACAGAAACTCTGTATGTACCTACTCACACATCTCTACGGCAAACGACCGCTCGTATTCATCATGCACGTACAAACAATACACAGTCGGAATACATGCTGATTTCAGCTCTCCTTCGGTGGCTTCGTGCAAGAGGCAACACGGGCTTGAGCTCGCCTCTACAGTCGTTTTCTCAGGCGTCACGGGCTCACGGCCTTCCCTGAGCATATGGGCCCTATTACTATTATCATCAAAAGAACACCATGTCCTCCAAGGCTCCAACTGATCCATTTTTCAGAAAGAAAAAGTACACTGTAATTATTTTTTGAGGGGAACGTACACAGTGTAATTAACGGGTGTTTCTCGGGAAGCTTTGACAGTGACAAGCAAGTAAGTTAAGCAAGCACATCTTTTTGGTGGATTAACTAAGGTTTCACCAGCAACGTTCAGGAGGTTCTTAGGTAGGTTGGTAGGCTAGGTATCGTTGCCGGGAAAGCGACGAGGTGAAGAGACCAACGGATAGACAATTGGTTTGGCTTGGCTTGGAAACCAAGCGCTTGTGCAGAATAGCTGGGAGGTGTGCCCATGCGTTTTGGAGGACAGCCATCGCATACCCGAGAAGTGCATGCAGCGGCCGAGCTCCATGCAGCTCTTTATTTTCTTTCAACGAAAATACTATTTTCACACTTCAAAAATAAGCTGAAAAAATATACGCATAGACATATATTTGTAGTATAGATGTACTGCAAAATTTCACGAGCACATATGCTTTTTCATTATCATAATTATCTATTGTTCATATGTGATGTACACAAAAATGGCAAATGCATAGATTAACATGGGATTTTTCTTTGTTGTATTTGGGCCAGATGTTTGTCTTTTTTGTGTATTATGCAAATAATCGAATTAGTTGATGAAGCTTTATACACACTTGAATAACATGCATACATATTAATAGGTTGACATTTTTTTTAAACTTTGAAATATATTTTGATTTTTCTTTTGAAAAGCAGGCTCAATGGAGCAGGTCCTTTGTAACGCCGCACTCATGACATACCCATTTATATATTTTTCAACCGGAAACTTGATTTGAGGCACCTCTAAGGGAAAAAAAATGAGTCAGTTATTTGTCATTTTCTTTTATAATGTAGTACTTCATCTGATAAAATATAGTGTATATTGGTTTGCTTAAGTTAAACTTTGTAAATTTTGACCAAATTTATAGAAAAATATATCAACGATCTATAGTACGAAATCAACACCATTAGATTCATCATGAAATATATTTTCATATTTTTGTACATTTCTGGTATTAAAATGTTTTCTACAAGTTTGGCTGAACCTAATAAAAGTTTGACTTAAGACAAATCTATTATGCATTTAAATAGATGCAATACTAATTAGTACCAAATTGATCTTTATGCGGGTGTTGCCAACTTAATTTTGTACAAGCTTTGTGCCAAAAATAAAACTTCTTCCTTCTGGGTTTAAAAGATCTCCAATCATTTTTAAGTTTGTAATCTAACCATTAAAACATGTGTATTACTAAATACTTATTCGAATGAAATTATTAGCGACATGTATTTATGTGGCATAACATCAATATTTAATTGGTCAATTTGATAATCTCAAAATATTTGCAGGTCCTACTAAACCGAAAGAGGGGGTAATACACCACCAAGTGTAAGGAATATTTTTAATCAAATCTCATATCATATAGCTAGTGTGTGTCTTCCATCGCAAAAAGAACTAGTGCATGTCTTTGGGCAATAGTGCCATGTGGCATGAGATAATAATTGCATATTGTCATGACGCTTCAACATGCTAGAGAGCGGAAGAACATCGAGCAACCACTTGAGACACTGCACAAGGTTGAATCACCTACAACAAACTTTAATCACTGAAGATGCATGCACACATATACCTTGTAGCATGACCGTGAATATGTTCCATATTGGAGAAAGTCATGAGAGAAGACAATAGGAGCACACAAACACATGAGATTCAGACGACGATATGCAATAGAGCACACTCTCACAATCTCTTCGTGGACATCAAAAAGGACGCCTTTGGTTAGAGAAGGCGCCGAAGGGACTTATTCCCACACAATGACGTCTTCACCGCAACGCCGCTATCGTTTTGACACAAAAACCTAAAACTTGAACTATCCATCATACATAATCAAGTTCCTACTCACCGAGTTAGGAGAGTGGATGTACAACCCAACCACTCTGGTTTAATTCTTCACAGACACAAATTGGGGTTCTTATAGTTTTTTTAAAAATTGTAGGGGCTTTCGTAGCACATTACTTTAAGAAAAAACTCCTTCACGCTACTAGACATTAGAGTGGTGCTCGGAGCGAGGGGCACATATGCAGCGGGGGGATGGTCAGGCAACACGATTTTAGAGGATTTCATTCCTTATTATATCTTTACTTTACAAATCCCTTTGAATGATTAAATCTGATAGTGGTAGATAGATAAAATAAAAGGAAAATAAAAGTAAATAAGTTGCAACAAGTATTTTTAGGGGTTTAGTAAATATAAAGTGAATGGGCCCAGGAGCCATAGCTTCACTAGAGATGAGCATAGCACGGTGGATAAACAAATTACTATTGGACAATTGGTAGAATAACACATAGTTATGATGGTTCTTCATCGCATGATTAAATATAGGCATTACGTCCGATACAAGTAGGCCGAAATCCATCTACATCAACTACTATTACTCCACCCCTCGATCGCTATCCAGCACGCATCTTAAGGTATTAAGTTCATAACAAAACAGAGTAATGGTTGGAGCATGATGACATAATGTAGGCGAAGTAAGACCAATTAATATGTTCTATCCCCATCGTTTTATCCTTAGTAGCAACTGCACAAATACGTGTCTTGCAACCCCTCCTGTCATAGAGTAAGGACACCGCAAGATTAAACCTACTACCAAGCACCTCTCTCACTGAAAATAAATCAATCTACTTGGCCAAAGAAGATGGATAGATCAGAGAGAAATACAAGGCTATAAAATCACGCATATATAAATCTCAGAAAAGACCCATACGCTTTCAATGAATAATCTAATTATAAACCCACAATTCATTGGATCCCAACAAACACACCGCGAGAATTACATCCAATAGATCTCTGAAGAGATTGTTGTATTGAAGGTCAGAGAGAGAGAGAGAGGGAGGGAGGAAGAGAGAGAGAAGACATCTAGCTACTGCTATGGACCCGTAAGTCCTGTGGGAACTACTCACACTTCATGGAGGAGGCGGCAAAGTCGATGAAGATCGCCTTCCTAATGGTTCCCCCCTCTAGCAGAGTATCAATGGAGGCCTCCAGATGGGATCGCGGAAGAAGAGAGATTTGCGGCAGCGGAATAATTGTTTCGGATCTCGCTCTGGTGGTTTCTGGATTTTAGGAAATTTGTAGCGCTGGAATTAGATCAAAAATAGCCATGTGGGACCCACAAACTCACAGGGCGCGCCCCCCTGGGGTCACTTGAGCTTGTGTCTCCCTCGGTCATCGTTGGTGCATCCACGAAGCTTCTAGGGCCTCTTCTGTTCCAGAAAAAATCATTGTAAAATGTTATCGTGTTTGCATTTCATTTGGTATGGTTTTTCTACGAAACAAAGAAATCGGCAAAAAAATAGAAACTGACACTGAACAATAAGTTAATAGGTTAGTACATAAAAATGATATAAAATGGCATATAAAGCATACAAAGTTGATAATATAATAACATACAATAATCAAAAACTATAAATGTATTGGAGACGTATCAACGGACATGCTCGAGATGGTGTGGAAGAGTTGAGCTCCCCCCTAATACAAAATCTTTGCATGGCCTGTTATCAACAATATGACTTGGATGGCTGATAGGCTTCAATGTCGAGGTTGGCCTAACTACAACCCTTGCTCCCTCTGCAAGCAAGCTCAAGAGTCGGCGGCACATCTTCTTTTGAAAGACCGCTACATCGTCAAAGTTTGGGGGGTGATTAAATCCTGGCTTGGCCTGATTGATATACACCCTTCTAATTGGGTTGATGTGGATTCAGTGAAGAAGTGGTGGAACCTAAATGCATCCAACATATTGCAGTCCCGACGGCTGCTGGTTTCTCTAATGACACTAATCTCTTCGGAAGTTTGAAAAGAGAGAAATACTCGTGTCTTCTGCAACACCGCGTTGTCGGTTGGAGTCATAGTTGCTAAGATCAAGAAGGAAACTTCCTTGTGGTGCCTCGCGGGGGCTAAATATTTGTATAATGTAATGTCGT